CAGGCCGACGCTCCATGCACTGAGCCAGACCGGTCCTGGCTATTTTATTGATTTTTTACAGAGAGGAAGGGAGACAGTGAGAAACATCGATCAGCTGCCTCCTGCACACCCTCCAATGGGGATGTGCCCCCAATCAAAGTACGTGCCCTTGACCGGAACCGAACCTGGGACCCTTCAGTCCGCAGACCGATGCTCTATCCACTGAGCCACACTGGTTAGGGCTACTTGGGGGTTTTTATCGCCACCTTCACAACTCAGATTTCAGATTCCCTTCCCCCGGCCTCCCTTTGTCATGTTGGTGCTTTAGCTCTCGGGGCCTTTGAGGCGTTGACCCACGTTTCTCTTGACCTCGAGCTCACCCCATCAGCCCCCGGCTGTCATTGCACACAACCAGGCTTTGTGATTTGACTGACTCCCCAGTTTGTTAGGGACACAGTTTAGTTTCGATTCCCGACTGCCTTCTCCCCACACCTGTGCTTGGCAACTTTCCCTGGACAGCCACTCCTGCTGAAACCGGTTTGGCTCAGTGGATAGAGCGTCAGCCTGCAGACTGAAAGGTCCCAGTTTCAATTCCGGTCAAGGGCATGTACCTTGGTTGCTGGTTGAAGGCACATCCCCAGTGCGGGGTGTGCAGGAGGCAGCTGATGGATGTTTCTCTCTCATCGATGTTTCTAGCTCTCTATCTCTCTCTCTCTGCAAAAAATCAAAATATTTTTTTTTTTTTTAAGAAAAACTATGCCCACGTTCAATGCAAGATGTCTCCCCAGCCTTGCCAGGTGGACACAGGCCGCTGGGCAGCTGCTCCCTCGTGGCTTGACCGTGCTTATTTACCCAACGAGAGACTGTGTCCAACCGGGGTCAGTGTGACGTGTTCAGACCTGTTGGTGCCACTTATGCTGGTATAGTAATCATGTAATTTACTTATAATAATAATAGACAGGTAAGCCAAGCGTGAGACACAAGAACCTGTCCTATGAAAACAGAGGTGAGTGCTCGGGAAAGGCCAGTTCCCTGGAAAAGGAAATGTCGTTGAATTAGCCCGAGCCGGTTTGGCTCAATGGACAGAGCGTCAGCCTGCGGACTGAAGGGTCCCAGGTTCGATTCCGGCCAAGGGCACATGCCCGGGGCTGCCCGCTCAATCACCAGTAGGGGGCGTGCTGAAGGCAGCCAATCAATGATTCCTCTTTCATCATCGATGTTTCTATCTCTCCCCTCTCCCTTCCTCTCTGAAATCAATAAAAATATATATTTTTTTTAAATTAAAAAATGACGTTGAATTAGGTTTGGACAAGGAACTATGAAGATGAGGGTGGTGGGGTGGGCAAAAAACCTCCAAGGGTTCCGTACTGACTGCTTCACCGGACTCTGAATTCTCCCTTTTCAGGGAAACTGGAAATTGTAGGGGATGCATTACAGTTGAATGTTCTGCAAGAAAAATGGCAAAGCCCTAACCGATTTGGCTCAGTGGATAGAGCATTGGCCTGTGAACTCAAGGATCCCAAGTTCGATTCTGGTCAAGGGCATGTACCTTGGTTGTGGGCACATCCCCAGTATGGGGTGTGCAGGAGGCAGCTGATCGGTTTCTCTCTCATCGATGTTTCTAACTCTCTATCTTCTCTCTTCCTCTCTGTAAAAAAAAAAATCAATAAAATACCTTGAAAAAGAAAAATGGCATAGAACTCATCAGCCAAAAATGTCTTGTTGGCCCTAAATGAAAATTTTGGTGTCTCTGAAAATACTGTTTATAGCAAATGATTGTGGGCTTGGACACGGGCGAGGGGGAATCATAAAAGAGATTTTGCCCATTTCTTTATAATGTGAGTTGTCGGTTTTAAGTGCTGTCCGTCAGCTCTCAGCCAGTAAGGATGGGGAATCGTTACTGTTATTCCATCCACCGACCTCCTGTTCCCCCCGTGTCTTCCTAATGTTGGTGCCTTCCCGGGGCCCAGCCCTGACATTCTGTCATCACTCTCGCCTTCAGTCTTGGTCCTACCAGTATCTGCCGTCCATTTTCCGGTCACCCCTCAGCTGCCAGAGTGCATCCTGGCGATCCCTCCGAAAGACGGTGGGAGCAGTGGTTCCCGCTGTATTCCTCTTGGTTGATGACTGGCGCAGAATAAAATGCTCTGGTCGTGCTTTTTCTCCTTGGGCATCTTTGTAGGTATTGCTCCTCCTCCTGCTAGAATTTTACTGTGGAAATGTTCAAGATTTGCCCTCTCCCCCTTTTTTTATCCTCACCGAGAATGTTTGTTGATTGAGAGAGAGAGAGAGAAACATCGATGTGAGAGGGAAACATCTATCTATCTGTTGCCTCTTATATGCGCCCTGACCGGTATTCGAACCAACAGCCTTTTGGTGTGTGGGATGGTGCTCCAACCGATGAGCCACCCAGCCAGGGCAGATACTGCCCCTCTGAGGGATGTGATCTCTTGGCCGGTTGCGGAAATCCGGTCATCCTGCCCACGAGGTCTGTCTGGCGCTGCCTGGGGAGGGTCCGTTTCCCCGGGACCCATGTGTCCTTCCGCCATGTGACTCCTCCGCTGTCTCAGCCACGCCCTCAGGTCTATCTTTATGGAATCTTTATGAACAGTCTCTGTATGTTTATGGAATCTTTATGAACAATCCACTGTGTATTTATGGAATCTTTATGAACAAGTCACTGTATATTTTTGGAATCGTTACGAGCAAGTTGCTATATATCTGTCCCATTCCGTTTTAGTTTGGGGCATGTATGCGTCTCCTTAGCTGTCTGCGGTAACTCGTTTCCTCTGTTCCTTTTAACTACTTTCTGTTTGTGTGTTTCCATTCGCTTGCTGTTCTTCCTTGCTCTCCTTTTTCGCTCCTTACTGCATTAGCAGTGACTCTCCTCCCTGTCTTTTTAAAAAATATATTTTATTGATTTTTTTTTTTTTTTTTTTTTTTTTTTTTACAGAGAGGAAGAGAGAGGGATTGAGAGTTTGATCAGCTGCCTCCTGCACACCTCCTACTGGGGATGTGCCAGCAACCAAGGTACATGCCCTTGACCGGAATCGAACCTGGGACCCTTCAGTCCTCAGGCCGACGCTCTAACCATTGAGCAACACCAGCTAGGGCTCTCCTCCCTGTCTTTCCTCACAGCTCCACCTTCATTTCTGCACGTTTTTCTGAGCTGGGCTGGTAGACGTCTTCTTACCTCCCTACTTATCCCACCAGCTCACGCTTCCATCTCTGCTTTCAGCTCTTGCTTCAGAGTTTTCTTTTTTTTAATTTTACAATATATTTTAGGACAATTTAATCTGCCCCTCGGCAGCATTTTCCCACAGTGTAGTATTAGCCCCCGTTTTTGCTTTCCTGTTTCTTTCCTAATTGTTTCTTGTGACGTCTTTCTATAAAATCCTTTTTTAAAATATATTTTATTTATTTATTTATTTATTTATTTATTTATTTACAGAAAAGGGAGAGGGACAGAGAGTTAGAAACATCGATGATAGAGAAACATCAATCAGCCTCCTCCTGCACCCCCCCCCCCCCCCCCACTGGGGATGTGCCCGCAACCAAGGTACATGCCCTTGACCGGAATCGAACCCAGGACCCTCAGTCCACCGGCTGATGCTCTATCCACTGAGCCACACCGGTTAGGGCTAAATCCTTCTTGATAACTCATCTTTAAGTAGGTGAGTTCTCAGGGGCCGGCTGTTTGCAGAATGCTTGGTTCAGGAGGTGTCAAGTCTGTGTTCCCGGCTCATGGCAGTTCTTGGTGCAGGATTCTGGGTGAGTTCACTTACCTGTATTCGCTCCAGCCAACAGGCGTGCACCGTGAGCTTGCCTGCACAGCCTGTGGTCTGCGCAGCCGCCGAGACCAGCTCTGGGAGGCAAACAGAGCTTGTACGTGGGGTTCCTCATTTAGCCTCAGCTCCAGCCCCAAGGAAGCTCGCTTGTCCAAAAACTCCCTGAGGGCGTGCCCTTTCCCTCCAGGAAGTGGATTTGTGCTGTTTTCTGAGCTTCGCAGCCTGTGCTCGCGCTCGCTCGCTCGCTCTCTCTCTCTCTCTCTCTCTCTCCCCGTGGTGTCCTTTCCGTCTCCCCTGCTCTGAAGGAGAGGAGCCCTTGCATTGAGCTCCCTGCTCTTGACAGCTTTGGGGGGGCCTGGACTTCTTTCTGGTGCTGTTGAAAATGGAGTCTGCGTTTTTACTTATTTCTCCTTTTTGCACTTTGCACTGGTACATTTTGAATAGCATTTAAAAGTTACGAGTTCATGCCGAAACCGGTTTGGCTCAGTGAATGGAGCGTCGGCCTGTGGACTGCAGGGTCCCGGGTTCGATTCTGGTCAAGGGCATGTGCCTTGGTTGCGGGCTCTATTGATGTTGCAGCTGATCGATGTTTCTCTCTCATTGATGTTTCTAACTCTCTATCCCTCTCCCTTCCTCTCTGTATAAATCAATAAAATATATTTTTAAAAAGAAAAAAGAGCCGAAACCAGTTTGGCTCAGTGGATAGAGCGTCAGCATGCGGACTGAAGGGTCCCAGGTTCGATTCTGGTTAAGGACATATGCCTTGGTTGCAGGCACATCCCCAGTGAGGGGTGTGCAGGAGGCAGCTGATGGATGATTCTCTCTCATCGATGTTTCTAACTCTCTATCCCTCTCCCTTCCTCTCTGTGAAAACAATAAAATATATTTGAAAAAAGAAAAGTGAAAGAATAGCGTGCTCAAGTTCACAGACTAATAGAGCGGAATTTAACCAGGGTCTTCCCGACCTCGGAGCCCATGCTCTCACAGCGCCTCCTGCCTTGAGTGTGAGCGGCACCTCTTCCTCCCCTCCACTCCTCCCCCCGCTCCTGGGAGATCCGTGTGTGACGTGGGAGCACGAGGGAAGCCCCTGTGGCTCCTTGAGAGGTGATGACCCCGGGACTGCGGTGTCTGTTCGGGGGCCGGTGTCAGGTCCCCCGGCCCCGCTGCCTCCCCCGAGGCTCCCACGCCGACTGCGCAGAGCGCTCTGACCCTTCTCCTTCCCGCCCCCTCCAGGTGCACTACATCCTCCAGGAGGTGGTGATGGGAGGGATGGTGCTGGAAACGAACATGAATGAAATCGTGGCGCAGATCGAAGCTCAGAACAGGCTGGAGAAATCGGAGGTGAGCGCACAGCCGGCCCGGCCCTGGCTGGTCCAGGGCGCTGGGCGGGTTGCGGAGAGCATGCTGGGTCGGTTTGTGGCACCTTGGAAATGTTTTACACTCCTTTCTTCCTTGTGTCCATGAAAGCTCACTAAGGCCAGGTGAGAGGGAGGCAAAAAGTGTGCACGACAAGCCAGCTGGCACCTGAAGGCAAGCAGCTTCAGGGGGCTGTGGCTCATGTCTGTGGCTTGTCATTCTTTTTTTTCTTTTTTTTTTTTAGGTGTATGATTTTTTAAATTTATTATTTATTTATTTATTTTAATATATATTTTATTGATTTTTCACAGAGAGGAAGAAAAAGGGATAGAGAGTTAGAAACATCGATGAGAGAGAATCAACGATCAGCTGCCTCTTGCACACCCTCTACTGGGGATGTGCCCGCAACCAAGGTACGTGCCCTTGCCTGGAATCGAACCCGGGACCCTTCAGTCCGCAGGCCGACGCTCTATCCACTGAGCCAAACCACTGTGGCTCGTCATTCTTCCTCTCAAAGCCACACGCTCCCTGCAGGGGCCCAGGGCCCTTCTCCGATTGCAGTGTGGTCTCCTAGTTTGTGCGCTCGCTGAGTCTGACCTCCCACCAGCCATTTCTCGCGATGCCTTTCAGCCCTCAGAGTCACCAGTGTCCTTATTTACAGTGAGCCTCCCAGAAAGCTCCAGGAGCGGGTGAGCTGGGTTTAACAGTAACACACCCCGGCCTACGCCCACGTGGTGCAGATGCTCCCAGTAAATCTGTCCAGTCCCGCCGAAACCGGTTTGGCTCAGTGGATAGAGCATCGGCCTGCGAACTGAAAGGTCCCAAGTTCGATTCTGATCAAGGGCATGGACCTTGGTTGCGGGCACATCCCCAGTAGGGGGTGTGCAAGAGGCCGCTGATCGATGATCCTCTCTCATCGATGTTTCTAGCTCTCTATCCCTCTCTCTTCTTCTCTGTAAAAAATCAATAAAAAAATATATATATATATTTTTTTTTAAATCTGTCCACTGGGACTCTCCATCGTCTCCATCCCCCCTTCACACGCTGCCAGATCTCGGGGGGCTAATGAGCGCTCTTGTCTCCCCAGTGTCTTGAGCAGCCTCCTTGCTCTGTGTCACTGAACTTGACCTTGCGAAACCAGGAATCCTTGATTCCGCGAGGACTGGCAGTCCCGCTGCGGAAGCCTTTCCAGACCCCAGCTCTTGTGGCAGCCGTAGTTCTAGAAAGGCAGGCTGGGACGGTTCCAGGAATAGTAGGTGACTCAGAGGCGGGCGGGCCGAGAAGCAGACTTGCAGGGCGAGGGGGGAACCGAGGGAGAAAGTGTGCCTCTATAGAAGGATCTAGAAGGCCGACGAGGAGGAGGAAGAGGAGGAGGAGGAAATGGTTTTGAGCCTTTGTCAGTTGGCTCCTCTCCTCCGCACAGCGGGCGAGGGCCTGGAGGGTGAGGGCTGCGCGGAGGTGCCTCGGCTGGGCTGCCCGGGTCTGTTACCAGCCCCTGCGGGGTGGGTCCCCCCACCTCCCGCTGGTCCTTCCTCCCATCCAGTTGCCTGTGACGTTGCGAAAGCCGGTGCTTTTCCATCTCCCATTATGAGTTGGCCCTGAGCAGTGACATTGGTTTTCCTTGTAACAACTTCCCCGTGACTGCACTTGTTTATAAGAGCCCTCGGTCTCTTGAGGAAAGGGTTTTTGCTCTGTTTTGTAACCTGAAAAGTGCCCGCTGCTTAAGCGTGACTCGGTTAAACCATCTCGGGTTTTTCCGTAAGCGCCGAGCGGGCACCGGCCGTGGGCCCGGCACCGTGAGGTGCTGGGCTGTGAGGCTACCTGAGCCACGGCCTTCAGGAGCTCAGGGTCTGGAACCCGTTACCATAGCCCCAGTCACCTCAAGGTTGTTTTGTTGGCTGTCTTCGAGGATGGGGGTGAGGGGGGGCAAAGCTTGCCTTGTGTGTGCTCAGGCTGGATAATTTATTTTTATATATATATATACACACACACATACATACATACACACACACACACACACACACACACACACACACACACTGTATTTTTCGGACCATAAGACGCTCCAGACCATAAGACGCACCAGTTTTTAGAGAAGGGAAATGAAGAAAAAAAGATTCTGAAACAAATAGTGTCCTAAAATATTTTATGTGCATTAAAACCCAACATCACAGTCATAAACACATGTAATCAACCCTGTAAACAGCAGCATTTAGAACCATTTTAGAGCCGGGCAAGCACACAGAGACCGCACAGAGCCGGGCAAGTAAAAAAAATTTTTTTTTTTTAAGTATATGTGTAGGCTATATTTGGACCATAAGACACAGGGACTTTCCCCCCCCCACTTCTGGGGGGATAAAAGTGCGTCTTATGGTCCGAAAAATATGGTATATAGCTGAAACCGGTGTTGCTCAGTGCATAGAGCATCAGCCTGTGGACTGAAAGGTCCTGGGTTTGATTCCGGTCAAGGGCATGGACCTTGGTTGTAGGCACGTTCCCAGTGGGGGGTGTGTAGGAGGCAGCTGATTGATGTTTCTCTGTGTTTCATGTTTCTAACTCTCTATCCCTCTCCTCTCTCTTCCTCTCTGTAAAAAAATCAATAAAATATATATTTAAAAATATATATATATATACATATTTATATATATATTTTTTTATTGATTTCAGAGAGGAAGGGAGAGGGAGAGGGAGAGAAACATCGATGATGAGAGTGAATCATTGATCGGCTGCCTCCTGCAGGCCCCTCCTGGGGATCGAGTCACAACCCGGGCCTGTGCCCGGACCGGGATCCAAACTGTGGCCTCCTGGTTCATGGGGCGGACATCCAGCCACTGAGCCACACCGGCCGGGCCTGGCCGGGCGGGGCCGGTCGTTTCTGAGACCCTGTCACGGGGCTTCCTGGGCGGTAAGCCCGCAGCGCTGCGGGTCCGTCTCACTCACTCCGCCTCCCGTCTCCCCGCAGGGCGGCCTCTCGGCAGCCCCCGCCCGCGCCGTGTCTGCCGTGAAGAACATCAACCTGCCCGAGATGCCGCGGAACATCAACATCGGAGACCTCAGCATCAAAGTCCCCAACCTGTCCCAGTTCGTCTGAGGCCGGAGGCTCGCCAGTCCCCCGACAGAGCCTCCCCGCGCCGCCCGGGAAAGAAGCCTCGGACCCGGATCCGCGCTGCCAGGGAGCGGGCGGGGAGCCCCGTGCCGCTGCGGCGAGAGCCCTGGTCTCTGGCGCACGTGGCCGCTGCCGACGCGGGGGGATCGGTGTGTCCCAGTCACTCGCCCCCTCTCCCTCTCCATGCAGCCGTTCCCGGGGTTTGGGGTCGTACTGAGAGCCCCCCCAGCCCCCACTCCCCAGGACCCCCCCCCCCTCCCTAGAACATGGTCTGATCAGAATCTTCTTCCTTCGCACCCCGAGGTGTCTGGCCCAGTCGCATGCACTTCAACTCTGGGGCGTGGCAAGTGGCGGGCAGGGGCCTGCTGGCCCTGCCGGGTGGTCAGCCCAGCGTCCTCTCGTGTGGCCACGCTTCCTGGTGACCCTCCTGCCAAGGGCACCCGCCCCTGCCACCGTCCCGGCTCTGCCCTCGCAGGCGTTCCGTGGCGGAAAGCAATCCAGACCCTGAGCCCGGGGCAGGCCCGCCGCGTCCCTGCTGGCTGGGGGACCACCCCCACACGGCACCCCTCCAGCCCAGCCAGGGGCGTCCCCCGTCAAAGGGGAGGTGGGGTCGTGTCTGTAGAAGGTAAAGCCGGCAGCGAATCGAGCCTCTCGGAGTTCCGACTCTTTCCGGGTTTAAAATACATCGTCCTCACGAGGAGCAGACGGGTCTGGCGCTGTGTTATGAATGATGAGTTTTCTTTCTGCGAGCGGGAAGCCCACAGCCATCCGAACCGGCTTCTGGAGCCGGAGGGCCGGGGCCGGGGCCGGGGCACAGGAAGTGCCAGCGTCTTCCAGTGTTCGAGGGGCCCCCCTGAGCTCTGTACGAGCACCCCTTGTTCCCGCAGAGCTGGCTTTGGGAACCCGTACACGTGGACCTGTGCTCCGAGCCCTCCCCACGGTTCATTTGGAGCGAACGCGGCTCCTCGGAGCAGTGCCCGTTGCTCCTGCACAGCCTCAGGCCTCAGGGACGGTGTCAGGCTGCCTAGTAGTTAGGGAACTCACCGCACCATCATGGTGCCCACTGGCCGGGCCCCAGACTGGTTCCTTGGGCCTCCTGTTGCCTTCGCAGAGCCTGAGACACCGTGCCCAGCAGGGCCGTGTGTCCAGATCACGTCTCTTCCCTCTTTGAGTTTTTTCTATTTGTTTTAAATTGATTGATTTTTTTTTTATTTTTTTTTATATAGAGAGCGCACGGAATGGAGAGAGAGAAAGAGGTAGAGAGGAACATCAGTTGGCTGTCCCGCCACCCATTTATGCATTCGGTGGTTGATTCTTGTCTGTGCCCTGACTGGGGATCAAACCTGCGACCCTAGCGTGTTGGGATGCTGCTGTGACCAATGAGCTGCCCGGCCAGGCCTCTTCCTTCTGGATGGTGCTCCTCGGGGCCCATTGGTCCTCCCTCTGTCTTTCAGATCCTCTCCGGTCACCTCAGAGGGGGCCGTGTTGGTCCCTTTTATGTCAGAACAGGAACGTAGGCGGCTGTGTCTGACTTTGAAGGGTTTAACTTTAAAAAATATATTTTTTTATTGATTTTTTACAGAGAGGGAGAGGGATAGGGAGCTAGAAACATCGATGATAGAGAATCATCGATCGGCTGCCTCTTGCACACTCCCCACTGGGGATGTGCCCACAACCAAGGTACATGCCCTTGACCAGAATCGAACCCGGGACCTTTCAGTCCGCTAGCCGATGCTCTAGCCACTGAGCCACACCTGTTAGGGCTGAAGGGGTTAACATTTTTATAGAGATTTCAGCACATTCACACTCCTTTCTCTCCGTCCATCCGTCTGTCCGTCCGTCTGCTGAGTGTGAAATAGGAGCAGAGGGAGGACACCGGTGTGTGTTGTGCCCCCGCTGGGACATGGCTGAGCAGGACCTTCCACAGTCCTCATGGCAGAATCTCCGCCTTCGGGGGAAGGAAGTAGAACTCGGAGGCCAGGTAACCAGCTGGAGGTCACGCCGGGCTAAGCACCGAGCCTGCCAGAGTCCTCGTCCTTTTCCGCCGCCCACTGTGGCTTCCCCCAAGTTTGTCTTTCTTCTTAGGGATAAGGAGGCAGCCGCACTGAGGTTAAGTAGCTTCTCACAAACTGACTCACAGAGACCTGGCCTTCGGGAGTGGGAGCTGGAGGGCCCTCTGCTCCGTCGAAGTGAGGAGGAAACGGAAGCCGGGTGTTCGGTGTGTTGAGTGTCACAGAGAGAGAGCCAGGTCCTTTTCTCTCTTACTTTTTTAAAAAATATATTTTATTGATTTTTTACAGAGAGGAAAGGAGAGGGATAGAGAGTTAGAAACATCAATGAGAGAGAGACATCCATCAGCTGCCTCCTGCACACCCACCCCCTACAGGGGATGTGCCCGCAACCAAGGTACATGCCCTTGACCGGAATCGAACCTGGGACCTTTCAGTCCGCAGGCCGATGCTCTAACCACTGAGCAAGACCGGCTTCGGCCCTTTTTTAAAAAATTTTTATTTATTGTTTTAATCCTCAGCTGAGGATATTTTTCCGTTGATTTTAGAGAGAGGGAAAGACAGAGAGAAACATCGAGAGAGAAACGCATCGATTGGTTGCCTCCTGCATGAGGCCGACCAAAGCCTGGGCTGGGGAGGAGCCTGTAACCGAGGTACGTGCCCTTGACCGGAATCGAACCCGGGACCCTTCAGTCCCAGTCCCTCGGGCCCCAGCTTCACCAGCAAAGAAACCCCGCCTCTCCTGAGACAGCAGAGAGACCCCCAGGGGCTCCCAAGCCTGTAGCTGCTGCAGTTCAGTTCCCCCCGGGCCCGAGGGAGGCCAGATAAGACCCTTCAGATGGTTTGTGTGCCCTGCGGTGGGAGGGGCGAAGAGCCTCCTGGGACCCCATCTCTGGACCCTGATAAGCCAGCGGCAGAACTGGAGGCCGAGAGATGGCCACCAGCCCAGGGCACTGCCAAAGCCCCATCTTTCCCTGGGCACCCTGGCAGCGCGGCTCCCTCGGCCTGGGTTCTGAGCACTGGGCACGATGCCCTTGACCCTCCCTGGACCTGCGAGTGGCTCCTAGCAGCTGGAGGCCACCCTCTCTTGCTGTGTCCGATCGCAAGAAGGCAGCATATGTGCCCTGGCTCGCGGTCCTTGCTTGCCAGGGAAGGAGTGCCTGTGTACGGAGGCAGGCGGCCGGGATTCGAACCGTCCACCTTGCTAAGCCAGCTTTTCAGAACTCGGTGTGGCTGGGAGGCGGTGGCTGCCACTCCTTTGGGGTTTTTTTTTTACCTGCTGAAATCCCCCCCTTCCCAAGGGTCCCAGCCTCCGCCTGGCTCTCCATCAGCTGGGCCCTGGCTAGTGCCAGCTGGTTAAAGTTCACTCCGATGTGACCGGACAGGAGGGAAATCCCCGGTCCAAACTACCACACGGCCTGGCGTCGCCGTGACGCTGCCCGGATCGGGCCGCACCTGGCCCCGGGGACAGCAGGGGGGCCCCGCCCCGAGCCCCCGCACCCCGGGTCACACCCTGCCAGGTGGCCTCCCGCCCGGCCCTGGCCGTCCCGTGACCTCTCACGTGGCCCTTCCCTCTGAGCCTGCCGTCCCCAGCTTTGCCCAAGTGGCAGCACCAGGGAGCTGGCCTGGCTGCAGTGTGAGCTGAATGAATGCTGCTTTTCTTTCTTTCTTTTTTTTCAAAATATATTTTATTGATTTTTCACAGAGAGGAAGGGAGAAGGGATAGAGAGCTAGAAATATCGATGGGAGAGAATCATCGACCAGCTGCCTCCTGCACACACCCCCACCGGGGACGTGCCCACAACCAAGGTCCATGCCCTTGACCGGGATCGAACCTGGGACCTTTCAGTCCGCAGGCCGACGCTCTATCCACTGAGCCACCCCGGTTTCAGCGTGAATGAATGTTTCATTGTCGTAACCACTGGGCTGTCCCTGGTTGGTCCCTCCCTTCCTGGCCCCGCCGCAGCCCTCCCTGGGACCTCAGCCCTCAGATCCACAGGGAGAGCTGGTGCACCGGTCCCCGGGCCCCGAGCTGGCCCCTGGGAGGAGAGGGGACACCTCCCGTCTGCACGTCTTAACAGCTCATTCATCGAGGAGCAGCCAGCTCCTCAGCCTTCCCCAAAACCCCACGAGGCCGAGTGTGATTCAGAGAAAGCTCCTCGCCCAGGGGAGTCATTTGCTGATGATCACCGGGGCCAGGACACAAATCCTGACCACTAATGGCCACTGTCCACACCCTCCTCCCCAGAGCCTAACGGGGCCGGCCCCGACGCCAAGCGGGCCGGCTCCTCAGAGTCACACCCTGGCGGGAACCCGTTCCCGCCACCTCTGTCCACGTGCAGGCCCCAGGCCCCCCAGAAGCCAGGAGAGGGTGCAGGGACCCCAGGCTCACGGCCCCACGTCTGTGGACGGACAGCCTGTCCTGGGAGCCAAGATCCGAGCAAATCTGGGTGTCAGGGAGAGAACCCCCTGACTCCCGGAGGGCGGGGGTGGGCCTCTTCCCCCAAAAGCGGGGGCCCCTGGACAGGTGGACAGGTCAACCCCCCCCCCCCAGGCTCCTGAGGGGTCCAAAGGGGAGGCGTTCCAGGAGGCTGCAGCTGGGGGATCTGCTGGTTATGGGGGGTGGGGGGATGCCTCTGGGCTGAGAAGGGGTGTCGGGCTGCCCAGTGGGTGGGGTTTCCAAAGGGAATACAAAAGGGCTCATGCTGCCAGGCAAGAGGAGGAAGCCCGGGCAGGCTGAAGCAGGTCTCCGACGAGCCCATGTTCTCTCTCAGGCTGGCGGGGGTGCGCCTGAGCTGAGCCAGCGGGGAGTGGGTGGAGGCTGCAGCGGCAGGGAGAGGCCGGGGGGCCACATGCCCAGCCCCTAATACCCGGAACCTGTGAGCGTGAGCTTGTTTTAAAAAGGAGTAAATTGGGTGGAATTCAATTAAGGGTCCAGGGACGAGATCACCTGGGGTCGTTCAGGTGAGGCCGAACCCCAGGGACAGGTGTCCTGAGTGACCCAGAGGCGGCCCTGTGACCACAGAGGCAGGGTCTGGAGTGATGCCGCCGTAAGCCGAGGACCGCTGGAGCCACCAGGGCCAGGAAGAGCCCCCTGATGGCACCTTGTCTCAGACTTCCGGCCCTAATGGCAAGAGGATAACTTCCTGTTGCTTTAAGCCCCTGGTTTGCAGGACTTGGCTATGGAGTCGGGGGCCTCAGGGTGGACAGAGGGTGACAGACGGAAAGATGGAGGGAGGGAGTCGGGCAGAGGCCTGGAGCTCTGGGGTGGGAGTGCGGGGGGCCGAGAGAGGAGAGAGGGGACCCGGGAGGGGGGCCCAGGACAAGCAAGGCCTGGGAAAGGACCCGGGAGGGGTGGCCGAGGCCAGCGATGGTTCCTAGGGAAAGAGCCTGGTGCCCAGGGAGCGGCCGGAGGGGGCAGGAGCGTGCCCCCGGGTCAGAGACATTGGCACACAGCGCCCGTGCAGGTGGTGAGGGTGGTAAGCTGCCCACGCCTCTTCTCCCAGAAGCCCCGTGAGGGCCTGCCCCCACTTTCCAGATAAGGACGGCCCTGCTTCTGGGGGGCAGACCCTGACGGGAAGCCACCTGTCCGGCCGGCCTGCAGGAAGCTCCTGGGGTGAGCTGTCAGTGCACAGAGGTCGGGGCCCGAGGGGTCATTGGGAGAGAGCCCGCCCCGAGGCGCAGGGCTCCTGCTGGAACGCCTGGTCGGCCCCCC